CCAATCCATGCCCAGTACTATGTCAATATCTTTTAAGTCAAATTGGATTAAATCTCCAGGTAGGTTGTATTCAGATATGAGTATGGGAATGTTGGAGTATACATTTCCACAAGTTACAAATTTATCTGAGGCGGTTCTTACATTCAAGTTTATTCTAGCCGTTGGTTCAATCTTCAATTTCTTAACGAAACTAGAAGATATGAAACTGTGAGAAGCACCAGAATCAAATAGAACATAAGCAGGCTCAGAATTTACAAGGAATGTACCTGAAACCACATCATTAGCATTGGCTTGGGCCTGATTCATCACCATGATTCGCCCTTGGTTCGGACGGTTGCCGTTGTTTCCGCCGTTGCCATTGTTCCCGCCATTACCATTGCCATGATTATTCTCCCCTCCTCCTCGAGGGTTGCGGTTGTTGTTGTTGGCGGCGGCATTGTTGTTGTTATTTTGTCCTCCATTTGGCCCAGCTTGGTTCATATCTGGTCTTCCTCCATCACGGTATTGCACCTGGTTCACTGGTGCCCCATTGGTCTTTGAGAGACACTCGAAGGTTCGGTGCCCTAGCTTCCCACAATTGAAACATTTTGTCAGGCTTCCATCGCAATTAACACCAGGATGATCTCTCCTGCACCTCTTGCAGTAGAAGTGTCTATCTCTGGGAGCAACTCTTCGATCATTTTGTTGGTTTTGATCGTGGAAATTTCTTCCACCTTGGTCATCTCTCCTCCTCCTCCCTTCTTGTTGCTGTGTAGGTGGGTGCACTCTGACCCTCTTTTCTCCTCGACCTCCATCTTCGTCCCTCTTCATCTTCTGGTTCCTCTCTCTTTGTAGTTGCTGAACTCGATAGTGAACTGCAGCTCTATCATAAGCTTCAGTCAGAGTTTGGCAACCCAAAACAGCGACGATTTTCTGCGTATCATAGTTTAGTCCATAGATAAATTTCTCAACTTTGGTGCTTTCATCAGGCACTATTGTTTTCGCAAATGGCGCGAGGTCCACGAATTTATTGTGATATTCCTGAACACTCATGCCCATCTGTTTCAAATGTATGAATTCATCACGCATGGTGGCCTGAACGTGTGCAGGATAAAAACGTTTCCTCATGGCAATCTTGAAAGCTTCCCAATTGAAGTCAGGTTGTTGACGTAAAGTTGGGCCTGATGAGACCCACCAGTTATCTGCCTCTTGCTGTAAATAGTAAACAGCAATGTCAACCCTTTGCTCTTCCGGACAGCTCACCGCGTCGAAGAGTTTGTCAAAGAGTCGGAGCCAATTCTCGAGGATACGAGGATCTTCTTGCCCATGAAAGCTTGGAGGGTTGCGAGATGCCACTCGTTTTGCGGCATCATTCCCGTTGTTCTGGTTTTGGTTGTTCTGGAGCACAGTAGCACCCAGTGTGTGCATAAATTGTGCCAGTTGTTGAACGCTTTGTGCCAACTCAGCATTGGTGGGCGTGTTATCAGGGTCTCTTCTTGGTGCCATGATATCTTGATGACACAAAGTATTCGTGTAAGAATTTCTATATTTTACTCCTAAGGGTCCTAGTTCAACTAAGGATTCCATAGGCTATGTAACAAGAATATATAAAAATGTACATAACAATCATACAGGGGATTCATACTTCACATAAGATCACTTTCGCACATAATGTTTGTACATACCTTAGCCACTTAGGAATTTTGCCTTATGAGGCATTCCATTTAGCATTTGGGGTTCCCATTTCTCATATGGGCCCACAATTAGCATAATTATCACATACATGATACATGTAAGGAAAATAAATACTCACAAGGTCCTCACCACGTTCCTAAAAGGCCATTTCCTAGCTATATTATCTTTCCTAATTTTAAAAATATTTGAAAATATCCCTTTTGAAGGTACAATTTCAAAGGTTTCCTTCAACGATTTCGAACGACGAAGTTTCAGCACAAGGAGAAATTCCCAGGTAGTTGGACAAGCGCAAAGGCTCAATTAAGAACCAACAGCCTTAGACTCTTATCGTCTTGGTGACAGAATTTCTCCATACAACCTATTACCTCGTGTTCTAATCCCTTTGGAAAACCTAAGGCTCTGATACCAACTTGTAACACCCCCATTTTTTCCACCAAAATAAAATAACATTTTGAAATGAAAACATCTTTATTATAAAATATATTTAGAGTACAGCGGAAGTCTTTAATGGAAAAACAGGTGTGTCACCGCCACACTCAACCTATACATGATTGAGTGCACAGGCTATCCACCATAAATTCAAGTAGCCATCGGGTAAAACTTATAACAAGTTTATGGATTACAAATTTAAACAATAACAATTAATCAAACGTGTGCAACTAGCGGAACACTCGGGCAGCAAGTCCATCAATCTTCATAATCATAATCATCTGTACAATAGAGCAAAGAGAAAAAGAGAAAAAGAGACAAATATTAGCTTTAGAGCTAAGTAAGATTCCACCCGAACCCGTAAAATAATATAATTTGGAAAATAGGTTTTTTGTATATGTATATATATCGAAAAGTAGTCTCTCATATTTCCAAAATGGTTTAATGTCATAAAATAATTTCCACAATAGATAATATCATCCTTCAATTCCTCCAAAAGTAATACTTTAGATTCTTTTAAGAGTGGGCGAAACTCAAGATTCCTCGAGCCCAATGAGTCGTTGTTACCTACGACTCATCCCGGAATTCCGGCTCCCACCGACCACCAATTGGAAGCTGAATTTCTACCTTAAGTGTGCACACCCTCTAAAAGGGATTCCAAGCCCTCCGAGTAGTAAGAAACCCAAGTAGGCGAGATGTTTTCTACCACCTACTCACAAGGGACATTGTCCAAGGGTAAATTAGGTAACTACTACTACGACCACCAAAGGATCTTTGATCCTCAAATAAAAGCCCGGGATGTCTACCGGAGTATGTCATTGCCGGACTGGTTACCGACCCAAATAAATTTCACCAAAAGTAGTAGTAGCCCTAACCACCCACGCCTTGTGTTTCTCTCGAGACGTAAGAATATATATTATGAAAACTTTAAGTTTTCCCCAAATCATTCTTGTCACAATTTCTCAAAAATATCCTTTGTAATAAATATAAATCCACCAATATTCTTTAATAAAAAGAATATACATTTAATCATCCATAAAAGGTAATAATCCACCAATATTCATATAGTCAAAATATTCGATCCATGTCAAACATATAATTTCCAATTCATAAATAATTCACATAGTGCAAATATTGCATACATATAAGTACGAGGCAAAACATTTTGGTTGACATAGAACTTACCTTAAATTGCGATAATCTCCTTAATAAAATCTCTAGCTTGATCTTCACTTGAATTCTTCTTCTAATATTGATCAAAATTCTAAATCAATAACTATTCTATTATTTCGTTATTTCTTATATATCCAACCTTTAATTACTTTAACTTCATAATTCCTTCTTTAAATATGAATATTAAATTAAATTAATAAATCTTACTAAATGTTTATTTCCAGCCCATTCTTATTATTTTCTATTATAATAATCCAACTCGATTTTTCTTTAATTTTATTTGGTTAAATAGTTAACTGGTCCAATTAGTTTAACTATATAATGATTTCATTATTTCGAATTAAATAAGTATTTTTAGTCCAAAATTCAGTTTACATAATGTACATAATTTATTTAATAAATCTCCTAATAATAATTTCATGTAAGCAATAATTCGAAATAATAATCATTAATGATAGTCTAATCTCAATAACCACTTTAATTAGTTAAATAGTTTATTTACTAACTAATACAATTAAATTAATTAATCCAATCCTCCAGTTTTATTTATTTTATTCACTAATTTAATTGAACTATCTAAATCAAATAAATAAGTTTAATTATATCAATATAGCTAAATACATTAATCTAATTCAATTAAGGCCAATACTCAAATTCTAATCTCGCTTTAATTTTCTATTTTTAATATAAAGTCCAAAAATATTACCACGTCCATAATTTAACTAATTTATCCATTAAACTAATTGATTTAGTTAAACTAGTCCAATGAAGTCAATTAACTAAAGTATTAAGTACACATTACTTAATTAATTGGTTTATATTAATAAACTAATTTATTATGAGTTCAAATAGTTTAATAATTTATATGGAGTCCAAATCACTAATAATCAAGGATAATAATTATTAATTTAATCACACTAATTTAATTAGTCCACTAATTCAATAATTTATTTATTAAATCCAAAATAGTCATTCATTTATACTAGATAACCCAACTTTATTTTCTTTTCCTTATTTTATTACAAACATCATTCTTAGTCCATAACATTATTTTCAATCTTAGTGATTTATTTATTTCACCATTAATATCAAAATTTTCTTATTTAACTACTTAACTAGTTTTATATGGCCCAATTAAATTAAATAGCTTAAGAATCGACTTTATAAATTTATTAATGTCCATAACTATATTTTGGGTCTATATTTGACCTAGGTTGTCCAGATATTTATTTTAAAATTATTTCCCTTATTTATTCACTTAATTTCATATATCTATTAACCGGTTTAATTACAATTAAATATGCTAATCATAATTTTTATTAATTATAAATGGTCCCAAATGTCCTAGTTAGTCATATATTTAATCTAGCTTGCTCCCATATTTATTTCATAATTATTTTCGTCATTTAGTTAATTATTTACTAAATGTGTACAACTTGGCCCAATTACAATTAAATCAATTAAAAATAGCTACAAATATTATTTTTCAATTATTCTTGGTCCGAATATGTATTTTTATACCAGGTATTTTATTTATATTTTTCCAGATTTTATTTATTTCATTTACTATTTTATTTTAAATTTTTTATTGAAAACGGGCCGAACCGGCCCAAATTCGCGACCCGGCCCAAGAAGACTGGGTTGTCTCCTTCCCAGCTCTTCTCCAGGTCGCGATTCCGGCGACCGGAATCCCGAAAACTCCGGCGAGCGATAACTTTACTTACAGGTAACGGATTTCGACGATTCCAGTTGCAAAATGATCCTCACGTCGAGGAGAAGCTCCGCCACCCCTATCTACGGCAAAATCGTGTCTTTTCTAAAGACCCGTTTCCACGGCTTGCAACTCCGGCGACCTCTAGGAAACTCCGGTGACTACGAATCGGTCTGGAATTTATTGAGAAGTATTCCTAGACCTCTCACGACCCTCCTCTATCGTTTTTACGAAGTTTGATACGTAAAATATTATAGGCATAAATTTTCCGGCGAGATTATGTATATATATGTATATGTATATATAGCTTCTATCTCTCCGATTTGCGGTGTTTAGGATGGCTAAGAGGGTGTATTTATAGGTCTAGATGGTCCTTATGGTTTATTTTATTTATTTGATAATTGTATGAATAATAATAATAATAATAATAATAATAATAATGTCTATACATAATGATAGGTTGGTAGTTGATGAACATGGCATGTGTATTGATCCCTGATTTGATTCCCATTTATATTGATGTTTCATTTTATTTTATTTTATTTTATTATTTTTAATTACTTAAATGTATTTTGAGTTTTACATATAAATATATGTACATAATGTATATACATTATTTGGTAGATGATCTTAGCATGTGTCATTGTTTTATGATATGATATTTTCATTTATTAATTTGATGCTATTATTAGTAATTTATAATATTCTTACTATTTTTATTTATTTATTTATTTATTTACTTATTATGTCACCTATATTTTATCTGATTTATTTCCATTTTTTTTTTCGATGCTACATAAGTGTTTAATTCTATTGCATGTAGTGTGCGTATATTTTTATACACCAAGTATAAAAAAATATTTTGATCTTACTTTCATTTGATTTATCAGATATAACTTATCTGATTTATTTATTTATTTTTATTTCAAATTTTCAAGGTATCACAGCAACAGACCACATTGATCACCTACGAAGGTCATTCAAGAAGATACAGGAGTATAACTTGAAGCTTAATCCCGCCAAGTGCACATTTGGAGTCTCATCAGGAGAATTCCTCGGCTACATTGTCAGTGAAAGAGGAATTGAAGCGAGTCCAGAACAAGTCCGGGCCATATTAGACATCGAATCTCCTAAATCAATCAAAGATGTCCAGAAACTGACCGGACGAGTTGCAGCACTCAACAGGTTCATATCGAAGTCGTCAGACAGATGCCGACTTTTCTACGACATTCTCAGAAAAAATAAGAAGTTCGAATGGACAGAACAGCATGAAAAAGCCCTGCAACAACTAAAGGAATATATGACAACACCACCTCTACTGACGAAACCAAAGGAAGGGGAAGAACTGCAGCTGTACTTGGCAGTATCTGAGCATGCCGTCAGTGCGGTCTTGACCCGAGAAGAAGACGGACAACAAACACCAGTTTACTATGTAAGTAAATCTTTAAACGGGCCAGAATCCAGGTACGCGCTTTTAGAAAAGTTAGTATTGGCGTTAATTACAGCATCCGTTAAACTACGTCCTTATTTTGAATCACATTCTATTTGCGTCCGTACTAACTATCCCATGAAGTCCATCATGAGGAAACCAGATCTAACAGGTCGAATGATCAAGTGGTCAATACAGTTGGGGGCATACGACATCACATATGAACCCAGGACAGCTTTGAAGTCACAAGCTTTAGCCGATTTTGTGGCGGACTTCAGCCCCAAGCTACAAGTAGAAGCGGGAAAGGAAGTATGCCTTCTGATAGGCGATCAGCACCAACAGAAGTGGATACTGCATACTGACGGAGCCTCGAACATGCACGGAGCAGGCCTTGGAGTCATGCTGAAGTCACCACAAGGGGGCACCATACTACAAGCTGTCCGATGTGATTTCAACGCAACAAACAACGAAGCAGAGTACGAGGCACTGATTTTCGGACTAAACTTAGCCCGAAACTTGGGTATAAAACTAATCGAGGTAAAATGCGACTCCCTTTTAATTGTTAATCAAACTAACGGAGTCTATGCAGCTAAGGACCTAAAGATGATGGCATACCTTCAAGTTGTTACTGAATTGAGCAACTTTTTCGACCACATCACTTTTGATCAAGTTCCGAGGGGGGAAAACGTCCAAGCTGATGCCTTGGCAGCAGTCGGATCATGTCTGGGGACAGAAAACAATGACAACATACCATTCGTCCACTTGACTGAGCCCGCCATTGAGAAATCAGAATTCGTCAATATCATTGAATCAACCACCGACAGCAACTGGATGAAGCCATATATGGACTATCTCAAGCACAACATCCTCCCAACTGACAAAAGGGAAGCAAGAGCACTCTTATCTAAGGTAACAAAGTTTTTATTAATCGATGACATTTTGTTTAAACGATCAAAGGCAGGTCCATATCAAAGATGCTTGACCCCTGAGGAAGCTGTCAAGGTGCTCAAAAATCTGCACGAGGGGGAATGTGGAAATCATGCAGCGGGCAGAAGTTTATCCAACAAAGCTCTCAGGTTTGGTTATTACTGGCCAACGATGAGACATGATGCTGTCACCTACACTCAAGCTTGCCAACCTTGTCAGAAGCACACACCATTGCACCATCAACATGCAGAGTCACTTCACCCTGTTCTATCTCCGTGGCCTTTCATGAAATGGGGCATGGATATCGTGGGAAAGCTACCTGAGGCACCCGGGCAGAAGGTCTACATGTTGGCAATGACGGACTACTTCTCAAAGTGGATCGAAGCGGAACCCTTCCGACAAATCCGCGACACCCAGGTAATATCGTTTATTAAAAGAAACATTTTGAGCAGGTTCGGCATCCCATCGGAAATCGTGTGCGACAATGGATCGCAATTCATCAGCATCAAGACAAGACGTTTTTGCGAAAAGTACAACATCAAGATGGAGATGTCGACACCTCGTTACCCGCAATCAAACGGACAAGCCGAATCAAGTAACAAGATCATCATCTCAAATCTAAAGAAACGGCTTGAAAAGGCACAAGGAAGATGGGCAGACGAGTTGCCCCTGATATTGTGGGCAGACAGGACGACACCAAAAAATGCCACAGGTCAAACACCTTTCTCGTTGGTTTATGGATGTGAAGCTGTCATACCAGTCGAAGTCGAAGTACCAACATCTAGGTATGGGCTCATCACAGAGGAAACAAACAACATAGAACTGGTTAATGACCTTGACACCATTGATGAATTGAGAGTGGGTGCTTCGACAAAGGGTGGCGAAAAGTTACAACAAAGATGTCCGAGCTAAAATATTCAAGAAAGGTGATTGGGTGCTTAGGAAATCTTTTGGCAACGAGGCAAGCGGAAAGTTTAGTCCTAATTGGGAAGGCCCTTACCAGATCACCGAAGTCGTCGGGCAGGGGGCATACCGGTTAGCATCCATGGACGGTAAACAAGTACCAAGAAGCTGGAATGCGGTACACTTAAAACCTTTTCACTTTTAGTTTGATCGTTCTCATAAATGTATACAACAGATATTTCATTTATTTCCATTACTAACTTGATCGTCGGAGGGCCGTTGGCCTCAAGCCAACGGCCAAGTGAGTTTTTAGATCAGATATGGTTTGACGACATCAAGCTGGTCGAGCCTGACAGATTGACACAGGTAATCATCAAACACGGAATGGGTAAGTCTTTCTCATAGTTCTACAAACTATGATCATCTCAACAGTACGTCACTCATCTTGAAACAAATTAATGAACTACATCTTATATCAATAGAAACGACAACTTCCGAACACAGGTAGCCTTTTTCATGTTACTAAGCATTTTCGTAAAATTAAAGCTTTTTATAATGAAAAGGAATAACCAAACTTTAAACACTCAGTTGATATTCTAGCAAAAATAATTGAGTTGGAAAACTATTTTCTTTAAGCAAAACTTTGTTTTGTCATTATGTATCATAATCTCAGTTACTAACTTTAGCATCGGAGGGTCGTTGGCTCCAAGCCGACGGCCAGACTCTGACGACATGTTAAAATGCAGAACACTGACGAGTAAGCCAACCAGCAATTGCCGATGTAGACGACAAACAAACATCCTAAAGATATTGACACATCTCCCAGAACACATCATTAAGGGAGAGCGAGGATGACATGGGCCCTTCGTATGCAAAACATATGAACAACAAACCCATGCACCTTGCATGTTTTGGCCAAAACAACAGAATTACACAACAGAAACATGTGCTTCATAAGCACGACAACACAGACTCCAAAACATAAGGAGACAACATGAGCGACATTGACATAAAACATAACTATTCCTGTCGACTACATTAACAAAATCGTACATGAAACAATACTCAAAGTTTTTGCAGGATTTTCACAGCAACGGACGAAGTTCCTTTGCCAACCGAATTGTCAACATCTACCTGGATGAAGTTCCAAATCGTCAGCATTGCCTAGATGTGATCGTTAGCACAACTCTAGAAGAAGAAGGAACAATCAAGTAGATCGAAGTGGGATATCAACCAAGAGTTCAAATTCATAATGACGACATCCATCTAGCGTGTCCGCCATCATCATGAATTGGGGGCAATTGTTAGGCCCAAAATTTAATAGGCCGGAGCACCGCCGAACTACCCGGATTAGCCCAGCAACGGTTAGGAAAGTTCTAGCAATCCAACCTAGCAAAGACCAACTCTACATGGAAAGGGATCAAGCAAGGAAAGAAATAAAGAAGGCTCTTACTCCCCTTAGTTAATTTAAACATCTAAGGAAAGAAAATCATGTATTAATTAATATACTATGTATGGACCAAGGAGGAGGGCATAAATACACGATCAACTATGATCAAAAGCCACTTTTGGATTCTAGCAAACCATTACGATTAAGCAAGAAGCCTATGTTCGAATATTAATCTATTCTTATTGCTATTTCTTTTGTTCTTAATCTCCTTGGTGTTGATTCTTAGTTGTTCGATTCCCTCACAATCATTATTCATAGTTTAGCTTAATTTGGCTAAAACACAAAGGCTGTGGCCTTGTCGTCTCCTACGGCAAGGATGAGGTCCGACAGTCCGGCGAAACAAGTGGGTCTCTTCTCCGGCGAGTTCTCCCTTTCCCTCCGGCGTCCAATGGCGTCCCGCCAGGGATGGATTTAGGGGGGGGGGGGGGGGCGCGGGGGGGCGACCGCCCCCCTTGGACATTCAATTTTTTTTTACCATATATGTAATATTTTCATAAAACTTTCATAATTTAATTATATTCGCCCCCCTTAGCTTTTAATTTTCAAAATTAGTATATAGTCTTACATAATGTAATACTTAATTGGAGATTTAAAAGAAGAAACATCTAAAATAATTTACATAACT